GTGTCTACCACACCTCCCAGTTTGGTGTCGTCAGCAAACTGGCTGAGGGTGCATTCTAACTCTTCATCCAGGTTGTCAGTCCTACAGTACCTGTTACTTGCCACACAGCCGGTTATGCACGTATTCTGAGGCTTTCCTAGGTCAGAGTGCGCTTGTTTTCCTGCTGTAGATGCCCCGTCACCACAAGGTGTTACACCAGGTAGGGATGTGTTAGCGCCGTGGCTTCCTCTCTGCCCCTTGCGCACGCGATGTTCTCAAGAGCTGCTCGAAGTCGATGTCTCCATGCACATTTCTGGCAAATCAGTTCACCTTTGGGCAAAGGGGGCTGAGCTGGAGTGGGTGAAGACCATGCACAGCTTCCAGGTGTGGAAGACGTCAGGTGTGTCTTGGTACCTGGTTTTGTGCGTTACGTGGAGAGCGCTGATGTAATGTTTTGCAATTGTTTGTTACGTAGTCGTGTGCGTGTGTACACACGTACAGAAATGCAGCTCCATCAAAAGCAACGTGTAAGAAGCAGAAGGGACATTCTTCAGTGGTTATGTGACCGGGGGTTGATCACCAATTATGTTTTTAGTGTGGATATTTAACAAGGAAGTGCTATAATTACTTACATAAATGTTTTTCGCTTGTATAAACTTTGAGTCAGGATCCTGGTATGTATTTTGATAATAATAAAGCAAAATTAGTAGATATTCAATATATTAAACAGTTTGTTTCCTGTATTATGAATGATATTGTGACATCCTTGATGTTTACTGTAAATAATTATTACTATTTTGTTACAGAATGTGCCCACTTGCTTTTAGCCCATAATGCTCCAGTAAAGGTGAAAAATGCTCAGGGATGGAGCCCTCTTGCAGAAGCCATCAGCTATGGAGACAGACAAATGAGTAAGAACCTCTGCTTCCCAATTAGTCAGAACTTGAGGCCTCATTCAGAACAGGAAAACAAAGATTTTCAAGCCAGGCTGTCTTGTAATACACCTGTTTTAGTTCTCTGAAGAGTTTGTCTTTAGCAGCTGAACTTTTTTGTATCTAAGTATGATAAGACAAGCTCTACACTTGTCCATTTCCCTGATAAGAAAGAAATTGCGTTAGGATACGTAACGCTGAGTAGAGTTAAGATTTTGCGTAAAGTGATTGTAAAAGCTATAAACTGGCATTCTGTATTTAAAACTGGAGTTACAAGGTCAGAAGTAATTTGAGCTGTATTGGGTCATAAGTGGACCTCCTCCATATGGTCATATGTATCTTTGAAATATTGATTGGCAATGGGGCATTGCTTTTGTGTTGCATCTCAACAGGCTAGTAGGCAAATATAGCGGTTACTTACTCGCTTCAGATATGAAGTAGTAAAGGGAGAATTATTCTACTGCTACTCACTAGTGGATGTTAATAGTATTTGGTATTGCCATGTCCCATAGCAGAAAACTCACGATGTATTATATATATGTTAATATAGTAATGTGCTAGTTTGTAATATACTAACAGCATTCTGCACGTCAGCTCCTCGCTACTAAATAATTTTCTCCATGGGGAGTGGATGTTGTGCAGTCTGCAGGCTCGTGTTCAGTACTGTACGTGTGTGCTCACATGTGTACTGACAGGCGTGTAAAAGACCTCTTGACATGATTGGATGCTTTATATTATAAACAATTATGGAGGCTTTTCTTCCTGTTGCGATCAGAGTAGGCTATGGATAATTACTACAACTTGAAGTCAATGTCTCCGAAGTCTAATGAAATGTTACATTTACATTGCTTTTATCTTCTTATTTTCAAATAACGACACTGACCTGTAATTAACAAACAAATAGATTAGATTTACTTTATAGTTTAATTTCTGTTTAGTTACAGCACTCCTGAGGAAGCTTAAACAGCAGTCCAGGGAAAGTGTTGAAGAAAAGCGACCTCGATTACTAAAAGCCCTGAAAGAGGTAAGTGTAAAGCAGTTGTGTTGACAGCAGCAGATCGTGATGGAAAGCAGTGGCTTGTGTTCTTAGTACGGACGCTCTGGCAAATGGTGGAGAAGATTTTTACTTGCTTTTGCAAATCTCTTTTGCCCTTAATAACCATTTTGGCTTACAGTATCTATTTTAAGAGGTCACAGAATTATGTGTATCTTTAAGATAATACTTCCTTCTCAGCTTCTAAGAATTCAAACAGAAAGGTTTGTGCAAGACAGACCTGCTAGTCTTCTTTGCAGTCTAAAAGTTAAAGAATGTATCTTTAATCTGTATTTATTTCATCAGATTTTTAAGGCTTTCTTAAGTCTTTTGGTGAGTAATTTACTGGTTTTGTTTAGTCACCAGTCATGAATGACACTTTCTTTTCTTGCTTAGTAATGAAAGAGATTTTTGGTTTAATTCTCCATCTACATGCAGCAGCCAGTTCTTCCTGAGCACAGTGAAACATTCCTCAGTTTAGGGAAACCAGAAAGAAAAGCCCAGTTTCCTCCGTTTCAGACTGCTGCTGGTGTGCTAAAACTGTGGTTATACAATGCAGGTGGGGTGAGCTCCTCCTGCCTAGTCAAGTGGTAAAATAGGAATGGGTTTGTAGACAACCAACGATTTATCTTGCTGTATTTCAAGTGAATTACACCATACATCTGAAAAGTTGAGCTAAGCTGTATCAGTGATACACGCCACGAATACGCTCTACCAACGTTCCTACAGCTTTCATTGATCTGAGAAGAAAAAAACCTGCTGCCTGTCTAGAAGTGAAAAGCTTTCTGGTTTTGTGTGCGAGCAACCAGAAAGCAGCCACAGCCTTGCTAAAACAGCTCTGCTGTTCCTCGTTCCTGCTGGTGCGAGGCCGCGCCCAGAGCTGCGTGTTTTTCTTCTCACGTGGAGTGGAACTCTGCGGCTCCCTCAGTGCATCACCAACATTTGCTGGTTTTAACCATCACCCCTTACTTTGCTTTTGCTTTGCATACAGGTTAAAGGAGTTGGCTGGCCCGTGTTTATGGAGGTAGAGGAATTTTTATAGAATGACTCAAGCATATTTCCAGAAGACAAACTGAAATTTGCGTGTGTGAATGGTCCTAGCTGAAACTTGGCTCATTAATTTAAGCCAGAATTATAATTCAGTGGGGTTGGATGTGATCAATCAAAGCAAGAAAAGAGCTCCATAGATCTTTTTTTAAACACATAGTTACAATAAATCTTTTACAATCCATGGCTTAATAGCTGTGTAAATTATTTTTAAAAAATCATTAAAAATGGGTAGTTCAGATGAGTTGTGTAATGTTATCATTGTCGATTCGACTCTGGTTAAAGCTTCAGAAATGTTTAAGTTCAGTAGAAATTCAAATACTAACATTAGAGAAAAGGTTTTCTTTGTTTGGCAAAACACAACTTCTGCTTGGCTTTCAGCAAATTTTACAGTTGTCATTTAGACTAAAAAGCTTGTTAATATATTCTTCTTTTCATCTCAGCTAGGTGACTTCTATCTAGAGCTTCACTGGGATTTTCAAAGTTGGGGTAAGCGATTGCGTATTCCTTTCGCAGGGAGATAATGTAATCAGTCCTTAGCATGCTTGATCTCTCAAGCTTAAATTCTCTTCTGGTTTGCATGCTGGAAAGGTCACAATCCGGTTCTCAAGTTCTAAGTTCTAAAGGACAGACAATTTTTTTGCCAAATTGTTTTTGCTTTTTCATTTTTGGAGCTGAATTCTTTTCTGTAATCCAGTGACACCGTATGGGGGGGAGCAAGCTGTTGTTTACTTTAAGAAATTGGTTATTAGAGGAGCAGAATATCCAAATGCCTCTACCTGGTCGATTGGTGTCACTACAGAGCAGGGGTTTGAACAGCCGAGTTGAGGGGCTGGACTTGGGGCGTGGAATTTCCTGAATTTCTTTTATGTGACTGTATAACATCTAGCATTTTCTCAATTTCCTCCTCCTCTGATCTGCAGAAGAAAAATCTAAATCACTTAGCACAGATGTATTAACCATGATCAACATGTCTGAATAATGTCAAAATATTGAGGTGATACCTTCTGTTACTGGTTGAAATTTGAGTTATTAATTTGATATATTTTCATATAGGCATAGTCTAAGTATTTGCTACACTGTGTGCCTCTTCCAGCATTCAGAGGAGGAGTGAGCAGCCAGGCTGCCATCAGACGTTGAGCAGACATGGAACAAACACCTCATTTTTCTAGGTGGCCTAGAAAGCTGTAGGTTTAGTGAGTGGACTTTGTCATGGAAGAGCCAGCATAAAAAAAAAGAGAGCAGAGCTAGGCATGGGGTAAGATAGGACATAGCTTAGTGATGAGACTTACAGCCTGGCTTGCGGAGTGGGATGGTGGCAGCAAGATGTCCATCGCGCAGAAAAAAGCCATGCCAGAGGTAAAGCCAGCTTCTAGGGTTGCTCTTCCCCAGCACCCTGCTGTGCCTCTGTTCACACTAGTTACTCCTTTCTGTATAGTCCCTTTTCTCAAAGGGAAAAAGGTGCTGTGGGCAGTGCCTCTGTCCTAGTTACTGGTCCTCTAGGCTGCGTACATTGAGCGGGTGGTCTCAATTCTTTGTAGTTCGTTTTGAAGAAAGTGTTGAAATGCCACGGTGAGGAATTGGTTCTGTTGCTGTGAAGTAAGTGGCCCTGCTTAGCACAAGCACAGCTGCAGGCTCCTGCACCAGCTCGCAGCAGTACGCCGACTCGCAGCGCTGGTGGCTTCATGTTTGCTTGTTTCCAGCTTAGTGCACTGGATTTTTTTTCCACCTGTGGCTGTTCTGCTTAAATTGTAGCTAGGCTTTCGGTTGGTACAATATGTACATAAACTATCGGCTCATAGACTTAAAATCTCAAACAGCTAGAAGCCAAGTTATCAGAATTTATAAATGTTAGCTGCGGCTGTGGACGTTTTAAATTATGTCCTGATGCTGAAAGTAGTCTGTACAATTACAAATCAGTTTTGCAGTTATTGACTAGAAAAAACCCTGGTGTTGGTCAGTTGTATTTGCACTGAGATTGTGATGGGACATGGTATGCTGTGTTTTTATTAAAGCACCCTGAGATTCAAACCCAGGTATAATTTTGGTAGAAATGCTTTACAGAGAGGAAGCGTGGTGTCCTAACTGTGTTCTCTCTCTGCCTACCTCTAGTGCCTTTACTTTCCCGAATTCTGCCTTCTGATGCATGTAAAATACACAAACAAGGTATAAATATCAGGTAAGTACTGATCTTCGTGTGTGCTAAGTCATAGATATCTGCATTTTGGTGAAAATGCCAGATTCCGGTGTGGTCTGAGAGAAATCGTGGAGGAGTCTGCAAACGTTTGAGAAACAGCGTTGTGTTTGTACGCTGGCGTTAGAGGCAGGAGGTTGTTTGAACTTCAGACTATGTCTTTTTTCTCTGTTGATCTGAATTTGATTTCAGCTCCTGAATCACTTAAAATACAAAGTAAAAGAAGTTAAGCTACGTAAGGCTTCATCTACCAGACATGACAATGATTAATTGAACAATAGGAATTTTACATTTTTAACACAGTCTCAGATACGTGAGGTTTCAGTATTTTGTGGAGAAATATTGCTGGTCCAGTCTGTGTAGTGAACAAAGTGGTATAGTTTATCTTTTAAAATGCTTAACGTGAAGGATTCGCAAACTCAGCAGAGTGCTTCCAGGGCTTTTTCCAAGCTCACCACTTTAACTGGTTTGGGGTTTTTGGATTCAAATGTCTGTTCTGTTTAGGTTCCAAAATTTAAAACAAACAAATAAATAAAAAGTCAAGAACATGATTCAGAAGATTCAATCTGTAGAAAATTTTGTTCCATTAAAGCTTTTAGCATAGATGTGTGAGCTGACTTTTTAAGTCAGGTTTGAGTCTGCGACCATTTCTTGCCTTCGCATTTTTGTGGCTCTCCTTGTGTGAGACTGGCACCGAGTGGGAATAGCTACAGATTCTTTCCTGAAGTCAGGCCAATAGATGGTGAGCGTGAAGCAGTCACCCCTTAGAGCTGAAGTGGTCACTAAATTCAGGTTCTGTAACGCTCTTTGTTAAAATAATAAATATTCTAGCAATAGCCAGTATAAACTGCTAGAGCGATCTTTGTTCTTGGCTCCATCTTCTAGTTATTCAGGTCAGCAGAATTATTTCTTTTGTGTTGGTGAGGGGGGAAAAAGTAGAAATAGTAACTAAAAGACGTCAAATCAAAAATCAGTCTGTTTCTTCGTCCTCTCCATAATTTGGGTCATGTCCTGACATTGTTACTCCAGTCAGTGGCTGCTGCTTGTAGAGTAGGATGCTGATCCCATGGAGCTGGTATTTGAGTGTTTATGGGTAACTTCTTCTCAAGTATTGGTGTATTTTCACAGGCTGGACACAACTCTCATAGACTTTACCGACATGAAGTGCCAACGAGGGGATTTAAGCTTCATTTTTAATGGTGATGCTGCACCCTCTGAATCTTTTGTAGTTTTAGACAATGAACAAAAAGTTTACCAGCGAATACATCATGAGGTAAATATCTGTGTGAATGTGGGGTGTAAAATGCCTCAGGCTTTTACTTCACGAGTCTGACTTACTTTCTGAAACAAAACGTGCCTCTCTGAAAGACCCAACAAGCTCCAAAGAAATGTAAGCCAAAGAATTTTTTGTTCAGTTGACATAACTTGAACTGTATAGGTCACATAAAATTTTGTTGTGAAAAGCAGTGCTTTTGAATACAGGCTTCTAAATGAGGAAAAACCTTGAGTGTGAATACGTTGGGAAACTTTGTGTCATTCTGAATAGGCAAAAATACATCTTAATTTACGGCGCATGCTACTTTTAGCCCTTCCAGTGGGCTTAATGCAGGTGTCTTCAGGTAGGTTTTCACGCTTGCTTGCCACTGCCTTCCACTCGTATGGTCACTCGGCAGCCAGTTCAGTTGTTAACAGTGCCAGGGTATAACTCACTGGACCCCTTGTATTTAGTCACATTTTTAATTATAGCTTTATCCATCAGTCACTTAAGCACATGGATCTTTGCCTGTGGAAAGGCTGTGACTGCTGAGCTTCCAGATAAATCACGCCTGGATGCTTTATTTGCATTAATAGTTAAGATCAAACTATTTGGTAACCATTTGGCCAGAGCTTCTATAAAACAGTTTACAAATTCAGGAAATGCTAGTTCTGGGTAAAGTTCCGAAGGAAAAGGGGGATTGATTTTTTTTTTTTTTTAATTTTTTTTTTATTATTTTTTGTTTTAGAAGAGGTAATCGTTATTATTAAGTTCTATTCAGTATTTGGCAACGTTTCTTCTAGGAATCTGAGATGGAAACAGAAGAGGAGGTTGACATTTTGATGAGCAGCGATATTTACTCAGCAACATTATCAACCAAATCAATTACCTTTGCGCGTGCCCAGACAGGATGGCTTTTTCGAGAAGACAAAACAGTAAGCTGGAAGAAAATTTCACAGACTGCATTACTGAGAGAAAATAGCTCAGAAAGGCTTACGATGGTGTGGTTGGGAAGAAATGGGCAGTAAAAGAATAGGAGGAAAAATGTCCCCCCTACCCCCACGATTGTCACTGGTTTGACCACAGAGAATACACTGCCTGGGTAAGGAAAAGGTAGCCTGGAGGAAAGATAACGAGCTGGGTGGAGAACAGATGGTACAGAAAACTACCTGACTGTAGGAGTGCGTGGTCTGTGGAGGCACATTCCAGGGCGTGCAGTGAGGATTCTGGGTGCCTCTGCGTCAGGGGGGTGCAGGGGGAAGGGGGTGCTTTCCTCTGGGTGCCCCTTTCCGTGTTGTCAGTCTGACGGAGGTACAAGCGCTCAGCTGGGAAGGAACGGAAACGGCCACCGTCGTGACTTCCGTGGGCAGGAAATGGCTGTCTTGTGTCTAGCTCTGAAGGGTTTTGTTTTCAGCCAGATCTGTTCAGGTGCTGCCGTTCCTGGAGAGTTTTCGTCTGAGCTGGTGTTTCTGAACTTTTTTCCTTGTGAATACCAAATCCATATTCTGCATGTGTGAATTACCCTTTAACACAGCTTGCTTCATCAGCTTTTCCTTGGCACTCTTAAATTCTTAACCTATCTTTTCTGTCTCAAAGTTTCCTTTGGTATGAAATACCTGTTCCTGATGGAGTTGTTGCCTTTGTGCTGTGCATCTCTTTCTGGGACTGTTCACTGACAGCTCGTCTGGTTGGTTGTGTAAATCACAACATCTCAATCCTGAAGTTACCATACTGCACTGACGTGCAGTTATTTGGATATACAATAATTTAAATGTTTTAATTTTACCTTCTGTGAGTCATTAATGTCCAATTCCTTTTGTGCAGGAAAGAGTAGGAAACTTTTTGGCAGATTTCTACTTGGTTAATGGACTTGTGTTAGAATCAAGGAAAAGAAGAGAACATCTCAGTGAGGAGGATATTCTTCGAAATAAAGCTATCATGGAGAGCCTGAGTAAAGGTGGCAACTTAATGGAACAAAATTTTGAGGTATGCTTTAGTAATTCTTCACAACATGTGGATTTTTGCATAGGAGGATAATCTTTCACACCAGTCACTTAGCAAAATCTACAGATAATGTTTTTCTGTTTTGATAGTCTTAATTTTAAAATAATAAGTGTGACCTACAAGTATAATCATGGTGATATGTTAATGATTTATCCTGATTACTGCACACATTGAGGAATTTCTGTGATTGTATTGGGTATTTCAGTCTTAATTTGTCTCAGTAAAAGATGAGGGTTTTGGCTGTGCCAAATCACTTCAACTTCTTTTAGACCAAATGTTTATAGTATAGAATGTGTTTCTGGTTTTCTTTTCAATCGTGTTTGCCTTTAGCTTCATTAAAATGAACGAAGCCTGTCATTATCGCCATGAAATCAAGAGCTATTCAGAAGGAGCCAGATGTCATCTGGGAACACGCATACAGCCTTTTAAAAATGATTAATTTATTTCTGTATTAGCTTGTGCTTTGTTATTTGTCAGTCAGACACTTGAATTAACTGATTAACTGATGTATTAAACCAGCCAGCTTCTGTGTGAAATACAGTTTGAGGCCAGACACCTCAGTGGAGGCTGAGAGCAAGAGCAGGAGGTGGAAAAGCCCGGTGAAGTGTCAGCTGCAGACTGGATAGGCTGTATTGCTGTTCTTTGTAGAACTGACGTACAGTTGCATCTTTTGAATGGCAAAATTCTAAGAGAATATAAGGAAAGATCAACAGTTAAGACATGTTTTTTTTGAACAGCCTGTCAGACGGCAGTCGCTGACTCCGCCATCACCCAATACAATTACGTGGGAAGAGTACATATCTGCTGAAAATGGAAAGTGAGTGCTTTTGCTTTATTGGCATTGACTTCCGTAGACACCTTTACATTATTGGTTTGGGGTTGTGGTTTGGGGTTCCCTCCCCCTCCCCTTTTTTTTTTTTTTGCTTATGTTCTCTGGTTTGTGGCTGCTTTCTGTCGATCGTTTTCTGGGGACAGAGGCACATGGGGCTTGGTGTCTGAGGTGTTCAACATTCTTCAGCAGGCTGGCTGGGAACCCGATACCTGCATACGTAAACAGTGTTACTGCATCAGCTGGAGATAAAATTAGTGGATGGGCACCTACCTGATACACCCATGGCTTGAAATGTAAACACTATAAATAGGCACATCTAAACTGGGGGTTTTTTTTAAAGATGATTTTTTTTTTTAGATAATTCTCTAACTGTGTTTGTCTCGTCTCCCGGTTTAGCAGAACCCATAGTAATCTAAATTAAGATGGTTACTGACTCATGTTTACTATGCACAACTTCTACTTTTAAATTCTTTGCTTCATTGTAGGGATTCTTTACTGATGTTTTCAAACCTGAGTCTTGCTTCTTTCCTTTAAAACTGAGGCTTCACTGAGAGAAAAACTGACTTTGCCTTTCTCCCCCGACCCCGCCTTACAGAGCTCCTCATCTGGGTAGAGAGCTGGTCTGCAAAGAAAGCAAGAAGACCTTTAAAGCCACGATAGCGATGAGCCAGGAATTTCCCTTAGGGATTGAATCGTAAGTCAGAATTATTGGCCTTGAATGTTATTTGTAAGTAGGAAAAGTTTTAATGTGTTTATGAATGTGTTTGGAGGCTGGTAACAAGTGGTGTCCCCCAGGGGTCAGTACTGGGCCCAGTCTTGTTTAACTTCTTCATCAACGACCTGGGTGAAGAGTTAGAATGTACCCTCAGCAAGTTTGCTGATGACACCAAACTGGGAGGTGTGGTAGACACACCGGCAGGCTGTGCTGCCATTCAGCGTGACCTGGACAGGCTGGAAAGCTGGGCAGAGAGGAACCTGATGAGGTTCAACAAAGGCAAATGCAGGGTCCTGCACCTGGGGAGGAACAACCTCATGCACCAGTA